AAACTGATGATGAAGAAGATAACAAACACGTTATTTAAATTTTTCAAAATTTAAGGATTATAATATTATATTTTCCATCATCCTTATTTTCAATACATATGCGAACAACTTTTAGAGTCCATACATTACAATTCTTACTTAACTCCGATTTAATTAGAATATATAGCTTGAGATAAATAATTATAACCTTGGACTTGCACTATACTGATTATATAAATAAATTAATTAATGTCCACATGATAAAAAATATATATCTTATCGCCTTCATTTGTCTTATTATTTATTTAATTTATATATAACAAAATATATAGTTTTAAAAATAATGATTAATTGCTTAATATTTTATTGATTATCATTATTTCTTGTAAACATTACTTTAAAAAAAAAATTGACCAGTTTTCATTAGGAGAGACCGGGGATAAGTGACTATCCGGGTTGACTGGCCACCCACTCTAAGTTCTTATTTATGAAATTATTTTGTTTATAAATTTCACTAAATACGTATAGTTTGTTTAAGTTGATTTTGATTGATTCAATAAAAAAAAACATTTCTGGTACCCTGTTGAACTAAAATCACATTTTAACTTTTTTTAGTACTAGAGGAGAATTTACGCATTTAAATTTTTTATTATTTTATATGTTATAATCTTTACACACTATGCAATATTCATTAAAAAAAGAAATCAAAATGCTTTATTTATCACTATATAATGGGCCGTTTTAATAATAATAAATATAAAGATAAATAAGTGGCCATGTAAGAGAGAAAGTATGAAGGAAAGAAAAAAAGAAAAGAAAGAAAGAAAAAATGTATATACCTAAGGAAACTCCATGTTTATTATCAAATTTATTTCGGGAAAAAATATGTGACTAAAAGAAAGCGTGGCTGGTATGACGTTGTGTTTGTGACATAGATGTAGAGGATATGTTAAATTTTTTTCCGTTTTTTGTCATTAGATAAAATAGTCCCCGATCTTACCCCTTTCATCTAACAATTCTATTCATCACGATAGTACTTGTAGTTAAACTCAATGACGCGATAAGATAATTTAATCTAGTGATTAGCCCCTCATCCCAATAATTTCTATACAATAGCTAAATTGGAAATAAATTCAATTGGAGAGGGGATTGCACAATGAGGGAATATGAAAGATCCTTTAGTCGGAGTACTTTGATATAGTTTTTTTTTGACGATTTAGAATCTTTATTACGAATTTATAATATAAGCAAGAAAAAAAGGGGCACGATATCGTTTCCATAGCTATATGACAGCAAATCAAATACAGTTTTATAAAGAGTGATATTATTCGAGTTATACCCTAAAAGATAGAAACTACTGACCATAATTGGGTAATTTCTATATTTTTATTCGTTTAAGCTAAAGCTTGCTAAAATATCTGCTAATCCCAATTTTTAGTTGAAAACGATCAATTTGGCCTCGGGGTTTCCCTAAAAAAAATATAGCTGCTCAAATTTGAAAGAAACTAATATAAATTAAACCAACTTATATGTTAATAAATTTTTTCCGGCACGCGTCTATAGATTGGAATTAGCTGCCATATGGTCATTACCTAACTATAGTGAACACACCCTGAGACGATGCAAAATATCATAATATTTTGCCTTTAAAAAAATTTATGGATCAGGATAAGAAATAAATTTTATATAGATTATTAGGGATATTTTTATATAAAATAATTATTGGGGGGAGGAGGGGGGGGGGGGTTCTACTTTATTGGTTGTAACTGACTATATCAAAATGAGTTCTAAAATTGATTATCATAAATATAGTTAGAAGAATTATTCTACCTATTATGATATCCGAAATTTAGTTGGTAGTAAAAATACTAACTTTTTTAAAAATTCTTTTGGTTTGAAAATATTCTGAATTTTTCACCAAGAAAAAAACTGAGAAGTGTAAGGGATTCCAAGTTTTTCTTCCTTTTTTTAGCAGTTTCTTTCCCCATTTATACCCTTTAAAATCTTCTTTTTTTTAATTAGGAAATATTCGATAAGAAAATCAATCCCCACATATAGATTACTGACATAAAACCTCTAACAATAACAAATTACAGTAATGATTATTTAACCATGTTAAATTAAATTGTTAGCTGCGTTGACATTATTTTGACATTTCGTTAACTAAAATTGAGAATAAATCTGGGTCCTTAGACAAATTAAAGTAGCAAATGCCAAAATTCATGATTTGTTTAAAGATGGATGACCAGAATTAAATTTAGTTTATGATATTATTATAAAATGATCCTTTTTTGTGTAGTTTAATAGATTTAATTTAAAATAACCTCTTGTTAACTGAAATTTTATATTATATTGAGAATCCTGATAATGTGAAATAAAATGGTATATGTTTAATTTTATTTACTTTTTTTTTGATAATTTTTAGAATATATTATATCAAATTAAAATATCATTAGTATAGTTAAATTAATACATCTATATAGCCTTTATATGGTATATATATTTTTTTACTCATAATTTTTTAATATTATACTCAAACGACTTTTCCTCTTTATATTTAAATACTATATTACACTAAAAGTATTAACACTCAAAATGTTAAACAAATAAGTAACCTTTATGTCTTTTCGTTTCCTAGTTGTATTTCCTTTTCTAAGAAACGAATATTTTTCTTGACGTATTTAATTAAAACATTACTTTCGCCAAAAAAAATCGATAAGATTATCTCTAAATGAATAAACTATACAATGTAAAGTTAAATTTTTTTTTAAATAACTTAAAATTTTAAAGAATAATTAATTAATTTTGATGATCATTTTTTATATTGTTTTATTCCTATTTTTTAAAAAAATAAATTTAAATATTATAATACAAATTTATACATATCATGAAACTATTCTTATCATTACTTCTTTAAAATTTATATGTAATATGACTATGAGTCTTATCACTTGTGGATTGTAGGGATAGGGATAAAAAATATTTTTGCAAATTTTTTATTTTCACAAATCATTTAAATAAAATCAAAAATACAAATAATAGACCATCAAGCATTCATGAACATTCTTTAAAGTGAACAGGATGCTCATGAACAGTGAAACCTATAATTTCTGAGCGATAAAAAAAATCCCCCCCCCCTCCCTAAAAAATATACTCCACTCCATTATTTTTTGACCTCCATTATTTTTTGACTCCCCAACCTCAAATATTAATTTCAATAATTTTTATTGCATCAATGCTTAATATATAATATAAATAAAAATATATACTTTAAAATACATTTTTAAATGAATAATTTAAAAAAATTAGGGGAAGAGAAAGCGAAAGAATTTATAATTTCGTCAATATCTAATTGTTTAAGTAAATTTTGTGCATTGATATAATGGTTAAATTATTAAGAACCGGATCTTTCATGAAACTACAAAACTTGTTTTATTTAATCATAAACATTAAAGCATTGGTATATGTGCCAAAAATTGCTTTCTTTTTAAATTTTAAATGAATAATATTATTTCTTGTAGATGGCTGCCTTATCTCAAATTGAAAGAAATCAAGGAAGTCTTCTAACATTATTACTATTTGTTATTAACATAATGATGATTTTTCATAAGAAAAACTATTTTAAAATTATAGGGTAAGATAATTGCAACCTTCACTTATATATGGAGTTACCAACAAAATTTCGACCTTTAATTTTCAATCCCGGGGCTTATATCTTCTGGGCTGCAAAAATCCTCAGAAGATAAATTACTTGGAAATTAAAGAAAAATAGCTATCCACGAGCAAAAAATATAATTCTTAAAAATTGGAAAAAAGGCCATAAACGACAAAAACCATTTTTTAAATACATTCTATTTCTCTAATCTTTTAATTTTACCCTATCCTCCCCCAAGAGGGTTTTAAAATGAGTCCCTATGTGATCGAACTCCATATTACCTCAGCCCATATCTGTAACTTCTCAGTGAGCCATACCTGTCACTTAAATAATATTATTTTTTTTGATATCAACTTAATATTTCAAAAATAAAAATTAAAAAAAATGGAGACTTTTGTCCTCATTTTTCCATTTTTAGAGAATTTTTATCAAGGATAATTGTGTCCGAAGATTTTTGACCCTGTAATTTTTGTCAGATCACCAAAATTTTTGGACTCGCCTAGAGCAGCTAAAATCAGTTTATCTTCCAAGCTAGTTAGTACTATTTATAAATTTGATAAGCACCATTCGTGTAGGAATTAAATTAAATGCATATTTTGAGTGGTGATAGAGCCTCTGACTAGTGAAAAAGGCTCACGGTTTGGTTGACCGGATCAGACCGATACAAGTCCTGACCATGGTCCTGATTAAAAAGACCTTTTCAAGACCTGTCTATAAATGTTTTTTGATATTTTAAAATAGTTTTTACCAATGTAATTCTTTGCTTCAACATTTTATTGTATATTTTATATTAAAGATATCAAATCAAAATATGAATAATATAATAAAAAATACAAATATTTAATTGCAAATTTCTTCTTTGACTAACTTTTCGTTTCATAGTATATTGCAATATAAAAAAAAGAAATAAATCACAAAAACTAAAGTAACTCCTCTAGAAATGTAATATAAAATAGAATATACATAAAAATTTACTAAAATATTATATGAATTAAATAGTAAGAAAAATTTAAATAATAAAGGTCCATACAGCGGTTTTTGAAAAAAGACGGGGCCTTCAATCTGTCTGGTCCAAGACCGATAGGAATTTTGGTGACTGGTGACTAAGAAAATTAATGAGAATAAGATAGTATTTATAATTTTTTTATCATTTAATTTTACATCATTATATTTGCATTTTAATTGGAAGCTATAAATAAACTCGCATTAAAATACTAAATATATACTTCGTATTTGTTGTATGAAGGTGTGGGAATACAATTTAATTAGAATGAGACCAACCATTTGTGTTGTAATTTTATCATTTTATTTTTAGTTTCCTAAAAATTCAAATCCTTTTTTTTAAACTTTAAAAAAAAATATTTAGGCTTCTTAATGCTCCCACTGTATATAGTTGCCGCTTTTTATAGCAAATATTACACCTTGATGGAAAAATGCAATATTTTTATCATAGTTTCGTTTATCAACAGCGTGACTGGTGTATGTTGCGCTTACACAAACATGGGTATATCTATCGATAGATATAGATCAATCGTTCAATCAAACGTCAAAACCAAGTTTTCGAGACGAATATGTCTCAATATGATAGCTGGAATCTGGCTTATATCTATATTATATAGTGTGCCAGAGCTGATTATTTTGATCACTAAAAAGAACAAAAATTATCAAGATTATTTGATAGATAAACAAGAACCCCATGTCATAGAATCCATTCAAATAAATTCCGACTTTTCCAGGGTAGTGATATCCTCGAACCCACAACTACGGAGTCATAATATACCCAATGAATTATATCTTTTGAACTTTGGGAGGAAAAGTAAGGCGGACTTTTATATGATCTCAAACTTTAATCAGATCAATTATGGGGATACATTCAATGCAAATTTAAATAAAACTTTTGACCCCATTGATACCATTTTTGATGAGGTTTGGACGTATAATAAAATTACGAAGATTAAAAGAGCCCAAGAAAACTCGAACGAAATAAAGAAAAAACTTAAGGACTTGATCATATCGGCTTCCAGCGATCGACCGAATGTTCCCGCGAAAGATTTGATATATAATGACTTAAATGAGCTTATTATTTTTGACCAGTTATGTGTTAGCAATGATACAACTATCCGCAAATACGTGTATTATTGTCGTAAACCCTTAAATAAATATGTAAGATTCTTGAACATCATGTTTTCATTCGTAAACGATTCAAAACAAATTTCGTTGTCTTCGTTCAATTCCCAAGATTCTAAAAATAATTTGCCACCCAGTGCCGGTTATCCTAATTCAACAAAAAAATTATCTATTATCTCGAAGTACAACAGCTCAACTATCATATATTTGCAAATGTATAAAAGTCTTCCATTAAAAGCGGAAAAGTCTCACATAATAAACTTTGAAACTGGTTTCGAATGTTTCCTAAGTAACAGAGAAAATATAATTAGCGTAGCGTTGCAAATGATAGTCGGATGTACCCTTCCACTGTCGGTCGCGAGTATATTATACGTCCACATTGTTTGCTACTTATGGAAAAACAATATCAAAATTAACTCTATAAGGGCGAGATGTATTAGAGCTTTACAAGTATTATTATTATTATATATATATATATATATATACTCATCTAATAAATAAATTTCTTCTTTAAATTAGCCAGATTTTGCCAAACAACTCCACTTATCTGGAGGATTTCATTGCAAATTTAGCTCAACCGAATAATGAATTTTATTCGAAATGCACTTGAGGTAGACTATTAAGATTAAATCCTCTAGAATCATGTACTCCCTATTTTGTATAAAATATAAATTAAAACGTTTGTTTAAGAAGAAAATTAATTATGGAACCATAATTTAAATATTCTTAATTTATGAAATTATATGATAGAAATATGATTTTATATTCGTTTTTTATTATCTATTATAAAAGATGATTTTTTTTATAAAGCCAAAATGTATTAATGAACAGCTACATTCAGCAATCCTAACCCAACTAAGCGCTAAAAATTTGTTGCCAAACCTGAATCGGCTTCTAAATAGGTGTGTTAACGGGTTTGAACCTTTTGATATTCTAATTCTTTCTAAAGAATTATATTAATCAATTTTAATTGAATTGCAACTAGTTTTAGATATTTTTATTATATTTCTATTCGAAGGTGTCAGTACCCAAGTTAGCATATATATGAGTTCCCAATAAATTCGCTCTTTTTCCTTAATTAGACAGAAGAGTATATTTGTCATAATATAAAAATTTTGAATTAATATATTTGAACGACGTGCAATAACAATATTATACATGCTAGTTGTATATATGTGAACTTTTATAACAAAATTTCAAAAAAAAATGTGCCTCTCTCTACATAATTCCATAAGTTTGTATGCGAAAAAGTTCGAATCGGTTTTTAAAGGTTTAAACCAAATCTGAATCACACTCTTATTTATTAACCTAAACCTAAACAAAGCATATATTTAAGGTTCGGTCACTAGCATCTCCATTCTTATTTTGAGACAATAAAGCCCACACATATGTTGCTTTATTATGATTTTTCTTAATTAATCATTTTCGGGAAAAAGTTACATCTGGAGTGCGCCACAAATTGAATGGATTGTTTTATATCATCTAATCCAATTGACCAAATAAACCCCTATTTCTTAATATTTCCCCCTCGTGAACCAGAGATTTCATAAAATCTTTTTTTCTTTTTTTTATAATTTTAGAGGTGTCCTTCCCGAAATGTTTTTCGAGCTCTATTTTTTTTATATATATTTATTCACAAAATTTATTTTTATTTAAATAGATTTTGGCCATTCAAAGAAGCTTAAGGGCTATTAAGATGATGATTGCCCTCCTCATTTTATATTCCATGTGCTCCGTCCCCTTTTACGTTCTAGCCATATTGGAGTTGGTGGATCATCTAGATTTTTCCTTTAATTACTTTCATCTCCACAACATATTAATCCTCACGGATCACTGGTTTCACGTCGGCCTTTACCTATATTTTAACAAGACTTACCGAAAGGCGTTTTGCCGAACGTTCGAACAATTATTTTACTACTTATATACGTTAACCATAAGCACTTTCAGATCTTCGTGTATATATCAAGGACATCATTCGGATCAGGAGAGAAAGGTATTGTTACGAGAATCAAAGCGATATAAGGAGAGTAAAAGTCATTTGTATAGTACTCTTGGGGGAGATTTGGGAGATTTAAAAAATGGACATTATTCAATTGAGAACACTAAAGATTTTAGATTTAACCGTGTCATAAACGACGTTCTGAACATGAATCCGACAATATTTTTGAATCACAATAATGTCAGATATCTGGATTATAGATCAAACATCAGAATTATGAAAACTACTGATAATAGTGCCTTATCAGATGATATCGAAAATCAACAAATTAGCTTAAAAAATTTAGAATTAAACACTAATACCGAAGCGTCCGACCTTCACCCATCCATAGATTTACAATATGATAAAGGTGTTCTATCGATGCAGGATAAAGATAAAAAAAATGAGAATTCTCATGGGTATAAAATAGTAAAAAGCGAACAAAACACGAATAGCGGTATTCCGCATGAACGATGTTCAAAACGCATCTATAAAAAGCATGAATATAACCCTCTTACACATATTTTTTCAAAAATGTCATCGAGATATAAAGATAAATCAATCGCTACTAATAAACCTTGCAGAATATCCCCAAATAATATAAATTTCCTTCGTATATTTAAAAAGACCAACGATCAAAACAAACTCTCTGTACCTAAAATTTATGTAACTGCCGCTGATAACGATGGAAGCGATCAAAATGACGATTAACATTATATAATGATATAATATTTTATTTAGATTAAAATATATAAGAAATTTAGTATATTTCATGAATTATACTAATTATAGAAGACATATATTATTTATAATAATATTAGATAGCTATAAAAATAACATCTAATGAAAGATATCGATAGATAGGATTCTATTAAAATGAGATTAATCTTTTATGCACGTATAGAATATTAACATTTAATATTATGGATGTATCACATCGCAACGTTACTATTTTTAATAAAAATCATTGATTTAAATATCACACTATTCTATTAATAATATGTGTATACTTTATTATTGTGGCTTAAAAGTTTCAAGAATATTTTAATATATTAGTTGTATTTTCTAATTTCAATGAAAGTCCAACTCCGAGGTCACATGAATGTTTAATGAGGTCATTTGAAATCCTTTTCTTTTATAAAGATTTCCTTTTTTACCGAAATCTTTATATTTAGATAAAGGTATATAATTCCATTATATTATGCATTTCTATGAATAGAATTTTTTTTAACACATTAATAATTAATATTTTTTATACTCTTAATAAAATTAAAAGCTTTCCAACAAAAAAAAAGCAATTTCCCAATTTTAAAATTAATGTGACACACAATGAAGAATTAATTATGTGTTGTTAGTTTTCATATATAAAATATCTATCTATATTTATAAGCATACCTAATAAAATTTTAATTAGACATTACACAAATATTAATTTGAACATCTTGGATCTTTTACTTTAGTTTATATAAATAAAACTTTTATATATAAAAAATTTTTATATCAACATTATTTTAATAAGACTAAACATGAAAAAAAAACCTTGCAAAATTTATTTTCAATATAATAATTATTTTTAAAAAAAATTGATTATTATTAAAGTAAGGATAATTGTCTAAAATATATTACTTATGGGATATATTCCTTATAACTACCCAAATATTACTAATCCATATTTAAGTTTTGGGTGGTTGGAGGAGGGGGGATAAAACAATATTTCTATCTATTCCCTTTTTGAATTAATTATAGATAATACCCATGGTTACGCCTATGGTTCCATGTTGTAAAAGCTTTTGAAAATGTTATGTAGTAATTCTTTGGACATGGTAGTATTGGCGAGCCTAATGGGATTAAAATATCATGAGTGATTATTTTGTAGCTTACCAAATTGGGTGGTTTGTTACTAATAATTTTGTTTTATTAATATTGAATCTGAGGTCTAAAACATGGGATTTAGTGTCCAAATATTGTAAAGAACTAAGTACATTATCTAGGGACTACATATGGTAGCGGAGACCGGGGCTATATACGACAATTTTGATTTAGAAGGCCATGAAATTTTGAAAATAAGATTTTCGCAAAAATAACTATATGTGTGGGAACCCCTATCATTAGGCTAAATTTTTTTATGCTAAATAATTTTTGCCTCAAGTAATTTTTTTTCCTCCGAACAAATTTAAAGATAATCATTGTCCTAATTTCCCCTAAGCCCGAGGTATTCCTGGACACAACCTATATATTTAGGGACTAATGTTTATTGGCTATACTTAATATATAATGATTTTAAAATCGACAAATTATATGAATAAACTTTATTATTAAATTTAATAATCCGTGAGGCCCATCATTGACCAAATGTTTGATATGGTTCTTCAATAGATACTTTGTTCTCGTGCATTTTTAAAATTTTGTTATAATCTATATTTGTAATATATTTATGATTATTTTTCTTTATAAATTTTAGCATTTTAAAAAAAAATTATAGAAAAATGTGAATGATATTTAGTGTATACATGGAGGTAGTATTTACATAATTGAGATCGGTATCAAATAAATTCGTTCAAAATCTTTGAGATTTTATATTTGCTAAGGGGTCAAAGTTGTTCACAGTATCACGATATGTGTGGAAATTAAATAATTAATTTTGGTTGAAAAAAATCAAGCACATTTTTTTTACTACTAGTTATTTAAAGAGGTTTTATTTTTGCTTTAAAATTTTTCCAAATTGTCCGAGCCGAATTATTTTTTTTCACATATTAATTTTTTTTATAAAAAATCTATTCTAATTATAAATTTCAAGTCTCAAAGTCAAATAGTTTTTAAATAAAGGCTGTCCGGATTTACCCCATGTCCGAAATAGCCCCCGTCTCCTCTACCATCGTCTAAATGCCACAAATTGAAATACTATGATTTTATTATATTAGAAGCTATAACAATTATCAAACAGAGAATTTTTAAAAAAAAATTGTACCAAAATTTTTTATATCATTCGATGACATATTTAAAAACAATCTTATACTGATAGTGGCTTAACTAAGTGTATGGCAACATTTATAACCATTTAGAAAACTGATATCTTATTAGATATTTTTAATTGTTTTTTTTGAGATGATTGTTGCAAGAAACATTTTGAATTGACTAAAAAAAATTGTAATTAATAGTTATTAATTGCCAAGTATTTTAAAATTTATAATGCTTTCTTTAACATATATTTTATTCATTCGCGTATGGTAAAAAAAACCAAAAATCAGCATTATCCAAATTATTAATAATTTTAAAAATCAAACATGATAAAAAATCTTATAGTTTTTCAAAATTCAAAAAATTTCGACGATTTTAAAAATGATGTACTAAAAAAAATTGCCGAGTCAAACGTGCCCGAAATCGTGATACCAAACAAGTCATTATCTTATAAAGGATCGGACACCTCTCTAAATATATCAACAGGAGACTCAGGATTGGATTATTATGAGTCTGATATCGCTAAGGAAGATTACTTCAATGGGGTTAATAATTATATTATGCCTAAGATTAGTTTTACTAAAAAAAAATTAAATACAGTTTTAATATCTAGAGTTTATAAATACAGTTTTAATATCTAGAGTTTATAAATTAATTTTATCTGCTAATTTTTTGTCCATCTACACTCTACCTCACCCAAAAATATATTATATATATGTAACAATCATTTTTTTAAATTTTATATACCCTATAGATAATTGAAAAAGAACAAAATTTCAAGTAAAATAAATAAAATCTTAAGGACTCTATCATTAAAATATTTTTATAAATTTTAAAAAGAATATTAGAAAATGATACTTCAAATACCGATTATATTTTTAACAAAATGAATCAAAGTGTCAAAAATACAAGTGTTAAGCTCAAGACTTTGTTGAAAGATTGCACAGTTGATCTGAAATATGATCGGGTAAATAAATTATCAAAATTTTAATATTTATACAATGTTTAATTATTTTTTCAAAAGAAAGGATAAAATTTCATCAAATATAATGACTTATTGACTGACCTATCAATCCTTTGATATTTTTCCTTTCTTATTTAAAATATAAAGATAAGAACATACAATGAGCGAGCGTTCTAGCGTTTGAGCGAAAAATATTAAAAGATGACAAGCCAAAAGAAGCTTTTTAAATAAATTCTTCAAATTTAGCTAATATTTCGATTGCATATCAATCCTTAGTAGCAAGAGTTAGACATGAAAGTAGGTAGGGTTCCTTCTGACCCCAATAACTTAAAATCAAATTTGTTTGTAATGTATAAAAAATTTGTTTATTATGTTAATATGTCAATGTTATAAAATGGAAAAAAAAAGTTACACGGATGATCAGGTGGGGTATTTGCAGACCTTAAGCTCCATAAAACCATTATAATTCATTAAGTACTACTTAATAAAATCAAAATTAATTTTGTACATTTATTCATTTACCTAAAAATATTATTGTACTACCAAAATCCATATAAAAATCTTAATAATTTATGTTTTTAAATAACTAGAGTCTTGCATAATCCCACCTGTGCTATGAAGAGTCAAAAAAAATTATCGTCTGCATAACTTAGTTGTATTTATTCTAGTAATTTTCCATTACTTTAAAAAATTTATCGTCTGCATAACTTAGTTGTATTTATTCCTAGTAATTTTCCATTACTTTAAAAATTATCGTTTGCCTAACTTAGCTGTATTTATTCCGAATAATTTTATCACTTTAGAAATTTATCGTCTGCATAACTTAGTTGTATTTATTCCGAAAAATTTTCCATTAATTTAGAAGTAATAGATTATATTAACATATTTTATTATGCTAAATTTCACAAACGCTCTTTGGTATTAAGGATGTATTTTTTTTATTATAATTATTGCTTGTCAAACCATCTGATCTCTTTTTATAAACATATATAATATATTATAAAGTTTAAATTTTCTCCTTCTTTATATACCCTTACGTTGTTAAGTTACCTTAATATCAGCTGGTATGGGTTAGCCGCGGATAATTTTTAATAAAAGCTAATAAAAAAATGATACTGACATTCTTCAATATATATTACTTCAAATGTGTAACTTATAAGAGAATTATAAGTTTACTTTGTAATCATTATTAAAAAAATTCAAAGGAAATGTGGTTAAAGGAATTTCAAGATCTTCAAAATTTGCAAGAAAGTTTAGCGCCAGAATCGATTAAATCGTGCAAGGATATTCTGTGGTATCATTTTATATATATTATTTTTTAGATATATTAATGTATTATCTTTGTTTTAGTAAAAAGGATGAGCAAACTCAAACAGATGATGTAATGTGCTTGGATTTAATCAAATACAATACTTTAATAGGTGAAAAGAATTTGGCGACTGAAGCAGCTTACGCATACAAAACTGATTTGGAAAAATCTGACCAGCTGATAAAATCGATTTTGTTAAAAATTAGATAGATACCATCATTATTATTTTTTTGTAATATAAACTCTTGTACATTAAAATAAATATTTTTTTTCTCTAAAGATTTATTTTGTTCATAATAAAATATTAAAAAGTAAAAAAATAGCACCTTTTCTGTTAAATATCTTCCTTTTATAAAATCTAATTATCATACTTATTTCACATGCAAAATATTTAGTATTGAAGGCAAAAAAAATTTATAACGAAGCATTTCATAAATACATTATACCTACCTATATTTTAAATAGCTAATTAAAGTTATA